TCTGTATTTTATTTTTTTTTTTATAATATCTTTATTTTTATTATTTGTTCATTTTACGTTAGGGCTTGAGCTCTCTTAGCAAGAGCTGTCAGCATAGAATTCTCAGAGCTAAAATAAAGCTCAAGCTCTAGCTCTAGAATGTCTTGCTATTCGATGATCAATTCTTCGATAGTGTATCATTAATCGATAAACACAAACCCTGTTAAAAGAGCTGACAATAAATTTGATAAATATCTCAACAATTATCGAGAATAAAGAATACTATAAAAGACCAAAGAGAGCAATCTTTATAAGAATCGTATAAAGTCAATTATACCAATCAATATACTAGGTCAATCACATTATTAACCTATATAGATATATACCAGACAAAAATCAATATACATATAATACATATACATATAAACATACATTATAAATAATTACATTACAGGTAATTGGTTAGTATCCGTGAGACTGTTCGATATATACATATGTATATTGACTGCAGAGCACTCGGAATTGAGCTACAAGCAGATACCCTAAGCCGTGAGCAGAACTGCAATTCTATTCATGCGACGCTGCCCTTATATGCAAAGGCCCTGGCTGTATATCTTGGCTTAGATATACAGATATAAATCATTTCATCGTCCTTATCAAGAATTTATGTATATACTTGAGGGTGTCTGCCACGACTCCTGCCAACACAGAATTCTTTCCAATAAGCACTTAAGGATATTAGTTCAGTTGACAACTTGAATAAATAAAGCTTTGTAATTGTCGAAAATTGATTCAAGGCACAATTTCTCAATAAATATTTAAACAATATCCAGGCACAGCCTTGTGTGTGTGTCTGTGTGTGTCAGCAATGCAGAAATGCAAGAAATGTGCAGGTAAATACTTAATATGCTATCAAACAGCAATCACCGCATTCAATCACACAGCGCTACGCTCACGCTGAGTGTAACACGATAAGCAAGTAAGTGACGTGCATATGTCACATACATAGACACACACCCACAGACACAGACAGAGGCACAGGCACACGCACAGAGACTCACTCACTGCTTTCCCTCTCTCACTCACTCACGCTGTCAGTCAGCTGACAAGCAGTGCAATAGCAATTCTGATTGGAAGTGACCCGAGTCACTTGACGCCCCCCACAGGCAACAGAGATGAGCGTTCTATGAAACAGTAAACTCTACTGCTTACACTCGCAGCAGTGCAACTACACTGACAAAAAAAGCTATTGTTTGTGATTTTAAGGATTATTCAAAAATAAATAAATAAACGAAAATAAGAAGAATAAAATAATAATACAGCCTCTGCGGTATATTTAAATTAAAATTTTTTTTTATNAAAGGCGGGCGGCTCCTTGAATCTATCCAGCCGCCTAATGTCCTCCAGCTCGTGTATCTCCGGCGACAGTCCGCCGTGCACGCAGAGGAACTGCTGGTTCATCAACGCCGCCAACGGCAGGCAGTCGAACGCATCCATGCACGCGTCGTACACGCGCTCCGAGTATTTGATCTTGCACTCCTGCTTGAAGGTGAAGTACTCGGTCAGATGCCGGCACTCGTGATTGCCGCGCAGCAGGAACAGCGTCTGCGGATACGTGATCTTCAGCGACCACAAATAGAGGACGCACTCAATGCTGAAGTAGCCCCGGTCCACATAGTCGCCCAGGAACAGATACTTTGTTGTTGCCGGCGATCCGCCCACCTCAAATAGCTTCATGAGATCATAGAACTGGCCGTGGATGTCGCCGCACACAGTAACCGGCGCCTCAATATCGATCATTGTCTTTTCGTGCCGCAGCAGGGCGGCGCCCTCCTGGATGATGCGCAGTGCCGGCGCCTCCTCGATCCGGCCCTCCAAAATGAAGTGCTGCTTGAGCAGCTCGTGATTGGGTTTGCCGGTGCGCGCATCGAATACCTCGGCCAGCGTCAGCTTGTGACTGGGTGGAAATGGAACGCTGTCGACAACGCGCTCTTTGGTGTTGACCGCTGCGTGTCCGCCATGCGCCTTATGCGTGGGACTATCGTGGCCAGCGCTGGCGGCATTCGAGTTGCTGTTGCTGCTTGCTGTGGCATTGCCCGTGGCGGAGGCGTTGGCATTGGCACTGGCGTTATTGTTGTTGCTGCTGCTACTATTGCTGCTGCTGCCGTGATGCGTGTCTGTGGCATCCGTGGAGTTGGTGGCGTTGCCACCTCGCTGATTGGCACTTGTTGCCACTTGGGCAGCGACGCCGCTCGATTGATTATTCGAAGACATGTTTGCAGTACGCTGTGAATTGGATTGTGGCTGTGGCTGTGGCTGTGGCTATTCCTCTTCCTCTTCCTGTTGCTGTTGCTGTTGCTACAGATGGCGCCCACACTGAGTGAGCGTATTCTATGGTGTGCGCTGTCTACTGCACTGGATTGCACTAGCTGCACACACGCACACGCACGCACTGGCACGTTGGCCAACAACACACGCACTTTTCTACTTTGTATGCTACTCCTGCTGCTGTTGAATTTTTCTTTTCTTTCTTTTTTGTTGGAGCTAGTTAGCCGCTTTGTCGCGTTACAGGATTTTGCTATTTTCGGTTGGTAATTTTCTATATCTCTGTTACTGTTGTTTCTGTAACACAACAGCAATGTATTCACAATTTGTTTTTATATTTTCGTTTCGTCTTGGCTGCTGCTGTGCCCTGCAGACGTCGTAATTTCTCTCGCTACGTTTTTTTTCGCTTCTCAATGGAATTTTCAGCTCCCCCTCCCTCTCCTTTATTTTTATTGATATTCTACCAGTGTGACCACAAATTGCGAGTGCCGAATTCTCCAATTTTCAACTGCCATGAATACCAAAAATACCATGTTCGACGTTAAGTCAACGTACGCTGACGTAAAGCGACAGCAGGATGACGTAAGCAGATGTATAGTAGCAGTACTACTTGGAATAAACTACTGAGCTTCTAAAATGTTATTTTGTGCATCGTTTATATTCAAGTCGTACTCAACTTTAGTAATATCTTTATAACCGATATTTTACTTTTCATCGCTAAACAATATCTGCATTTTTATTGCATTATGTTAAATCTCCGTAAGCCGACTTTTTGTAATCTGTTATTGTTATCGATAACTCACAATAAAAAAGAATGCCCAGAAGCATTTATAACATATTCGAAATGTGGACTACCGATTCTTAACATGCTTAACGTAACCGCAACGATAACTTGCTTCCATTTGGCGTCAAATTTGAAAAATTGAACTGAAAAAAATATTATGACATATATGTATTCAAAACGAACATTTAGAGGAAATAATAAACGTGCGCGCATTTTATTCTCAGGATAGGTACTTGTATATTTTTTTAAATGGTTTTGTATTGTTTTGTTTTGTTTTGTTTTTTTTTTTTTTTTTTTTTTACATTGCAGTAACTTCTTGACAATCTTGACAAATTAAAATGCAAGCAAACAGCAGCATAAGGCTAAAACTTGTTGTCTGCATTTGTTCATTATGCCATTTGTAAATTAATTTGTTCTTCTCCTTCTTCTTCATCATCATTTTCTNGTTTATATATTTTTTATATATTTTTTCATATAATTTCATAATCATTTTATGAACCAATTTTTATTGAATTTAAAAAGAAAACTGTTTTAAATTTGCAAGGCAATTTCTTGCAGTGTATTCGAGCTAACGTATGTGTGTCTAAGCACTTTTTTCATACTGTTTTAATTTTGCAAAGAATGCTGCTTAAATTCCAATGCAATTTCTTGCAGTGTAGTCGAGCTACCGTATGTGTGTATTTATTTAAATAAATGCATGTATATTTACATACATTAATTAGGTGCAAACAAAGTTCGCCTACCTCATTGTAAATAATCAAGTCGCCGTGTTCGGGTGTGTGTGTGTGTGTGTGCGTGTGTGGGTATGTGTATTGGTATGTAAACAAATAAGTCGCGTTGGGTTTTTGCGGTTGGATCGCGTCGCGTTGCGCCGCGTAACAATCGCAAATTGTTGGTTCTAGCTGAATGTGGAACCACATGTGTTTACCGTTTGCAGTTGGAGATAGTCCCGTTATGCACACCATGCTAAATTGATGAGCTGCATCAAGTTGAGCGAGCTGAATTGTTTAGCTGTAAAAATGACTGAAACAGTTTACAAACTGTTTCAAGTTGGTTAAGCGACAAAGTCGCAATGGGTGGGGCCCAAGAGGGCGGAACGGACAGGGGAGGAGGGCTAGCTGCAAGTGTTAATATGCAAATAGGTAGTTCCTTTGGAAGGAGCCAGCAGCTCTGCTAGTTGGGAAACTTAATTAAAGTTTGCACTCAGCTGGATAATTGAAAAAGTTGTCAGGCACTTTATCCACATGGATAGAATTAGTAGAACAAGCAACTTAAAACATAAAACTGAAAACTTTGCCAACTTTTTTACCAGACGATTATCATCAAAATAGTAGTTGCAAGGCTAACAAAATATAGATTAGAGCATTTCGTACCAGATAGTTTTAATAGTTCCATGCGAATAATTATTCAATTTGCGCAACAATTGCCAGGCACTTTACAATCGAATTTGATAGCTACCAAAGTTAGCCGATGTCAGAGTAAGCTACGACAAAAGCCATAATCTGGTAATTAATAGTTCGGATTAAATTGAAATGAATTCGTTTAAGCACATCTAACTTATATATTAGACTAAATGAATTGAATTTTAGTTCAGTTTTACTTTATCTGAGTAGGAGCTATTCATAGTTAGAAAAGTTTATCAAGGTATTATTTGTTTTGTCCGTTCTTATTAATTCAATTTTTTATTTATATAATTTTTTCTGTTCCTATTAATTCTATTTTTAATATATAAAATCATCATTTGTTTGTTTTACTGCTCATAATCATTCTATCTAATAATATTATTAGCATTTGTGTAAATTCCTTTATTTTTGTCTCTTTCTCTACTCTTTATCGTTGTCTCTTTCTTTTGCTGCCTCTGCCCTCCTCCATCTTTCTAAGTATCCTTCTCCCTATCTCTTTGCTTCTGTCTCTCTCCTTCCTTCGTTGCCTTTCTTTTTATCTCTTCATTCCTCTCTTATATTAAACTTATCTGCATCTTTTCTCTTTCTCTCTCAATCTCCTTTTTTTTTATTCTCAATCAATCTCTTATTTTTCTCTTTCTATCAAACCCTTTCTTTTCTCTCTCAAGCAATCTCTTATTCATCTCTCTCTATCAATCTCTTACTTTGCTCGCGCTATCAATCCCTTACTTTTTCTCTCTCAATCAATCTCTTACCTGTCTCTCTATTAATCCCTTACGTTTCTCCCTTTATCAATCTCCTACCTCTCTCTCTATCAACTTCTCACATTTCTCTCTCTCTCTCTCTCTATAAATATCTGTCTCCTTCCCTTTTGCTCTTCATCTCCCTGCAGATCTCTGTTTTAATTGATATGCATTACAAAGCATTTGGTTTTAATGTCTTCTCGTTTCTTTTTTTTATTTCACTGTATCTGTTTCTCTGTCCGTTCTGATACAAGATAATTGTATATTTATATGTTTTATCTCAATATTTTGGTGTACATTTAACTTCATTATTATGGGGCAAACTGGTTAAAGTCGGGGGCAAAACGCTAAAACCAAACTGGTTAATGATTTGTGTCAGCTGCTGTCCAAAAACAGTTGACAAACATTAAACATTAATAAAAGCTCGAACCGGCTTCTTCTCATCACATGGCCTGTGCTTGGAATTACTAAGCAAGATATCGATTCAAATGCACATATCTATATATATATATACAGATATATACATATGTACATATGTAATTATGGAGATATAAGATTCATATATATTGTGGAATGTTTCCATGCACACATTTTCCATACATGCCATTATTTTCAATAATTTCAATTCTTGATTTCTCTCTTTGATTACACCTGATAAATATCAAAGAAAATTTAATGGAATTTGTATGTGTGTGTGAGGTGCACATATATTTATTTATATATACACAATTAGCCCACATCATGTCAACTAATATACCCGATATGGCTTTGCGAAGGAGCATAACTAGCACTGTAATATTATAGAGCATTTGCTCTGCTGTGTGTGTGTGTGTGTTACAACAGTCACACACACACACATGCACGCACACGTGCGTACAGGTGCCATCAGAAGGCACAGGTTAAGTTTCTACATAAATTTGACAAGATATTAAATTGGCGCATGCAAATTAATATGCCTCGCAACAACATTGTGACCAGGTGGTATACGTGTGTGCATGTGTGTGAGTGTGTGCGTGTGCGGTGATATTTGAATTATTAAACAAGTTTCAGCACCAAAGTGAAAACAACAACATTTTATCAGGGCCTACACGGGGCTAATTTCCATGCATATATTCCATTTGTTTGTTCATTGTTAACTTTTTTTTTTTTTTTTATTGCCGTGCGCATATTTTTGCGTTTACACGATCGCACAAGCTATATATATATATATACATACAAATACCTATATATATATATAGGTATATAGTACATATATATATGTGTGTGTGTGCACATTACCTGCACTCACTCTGATTGTTTATATACCCTATAATCGTATGTACAAATTCGCTTTGCACTCTCTTTAGACTCAAAAGAAAATTGAACTAGTTCCAAAATGAACTCATAAACTACGAACGAACTTGGGACTAATGGAACAGTAACAGCTGCAATGCTTTAACTGAAATAAATCGATTTTTAAATATTTCAAGCATTTACTTAAAATAAATAAATGCCCATTAAATAAAAATAAAATATATATGAAAAATTACCAAAAATGAATAGTAAAATATATATGAACAAGATACATATTTTTAGTATT